CGTCTTAAACAGATATCTCTCAACCAGCTTAACGGTCCATAAATAATTATAATTTATAATCTAATATAACCGCATATCAATAAGTATACACTATACACAACACCAATAAAAAAACATTTTGTTTTTCATGGTTACACGTCGAATTTTCATAATTCAGTTGATATGGATAAAACAAAACATTTTGAATTTTATTTGTACTCAAATCGAGATATTTTTTGTTTTCAACAAAACGTGTTGTATACGTAAGCCGCCGTGTCGCGGGCCTATTCGACAAACATCGCTGTTATTAATTTATAATAATAAATTAATAACACAACAACGGTCGACAGCTAAATAGTATAGTCTAATACCGTTGAGCCATATCGGCGCCGTGGCTTAGTTGGTTAAAGCGCCTGTCTAGTAAACAGGAGATCGGGAGTTCGAATCTCCCCGGAGCCTTTTGCATTTTTTGTAGACAATTTTATTTTGACCCAGCACTTGTAGTATTATATCAGTATTTATGATTAATAATTTTTTTTTGCTTTTCATCATTATTATTTATATGTTTTTAAGGTGATATTTTGATTTTATAATTTTAAATGATTCTAATTAATTTGTATAGAATATATTTATTAAAACATAATGGTTTATTACATTATTTTGAAAAATCAAATTAAAATATTTCAAATAATTCATTGAAGAACATTTTTAATTTTTATAGCGTAGATACATATAAATATATAATACAACTTACGCATTTCATGTGTTTCTTGTATGGTAGGATAATATATAGACAATTATAATATATTTATTATACTTTTACTAAATAAGGTTATACCATACTTTTTTAATTTTTATTTTTTATTAACTAATATCAAGCTGATTATTAACTAATATCTTCAATGGCGTAATTTCTATATGATGGAGGGGCTTGAGGGAACGTATCAACCATAGAGCTTTTATTTTTTAAAAAAAATTTACTATATGTGATTAGTTGCGTAGCGAGAAAATGTATTGAATTAAGACTTTTTAACAAGACGTTAATTTTATACTTTTGCATAAACTTATGTTAGAGATAGATATTTTGTATTAATTTATTGATTTAAAACATATAAAAAGTATATATTTATCTACACTTATTGCTATAATGTGAGTAGAAGTAATAAAAAAAATATGTAAATTAACACTACTTACCTACCTATCAATGTTTAAAATGAATAGGTATAGTTGTTATCAATAACTGATGAAATAATTTTAACCAATCGCAGATTTTGTAAAAAAACAGAGGATAAAATTTATAAAACTATTCAGTTCTAACATTAGAAATTATAATTCCACTTGAAATATTATATCTAATACTATATACTATAAGTTTATACGATGTAGCTATGTAAGTACTGAATTAACGTTTTATAACAAAACATAAAAGGGACATGATTTTTTTGTAATACAATCTATTAAAATTCAAAATTAAAAAATTATTAAATTAACTTTTAAAATACATAGGTAAGATTTTGTTTGTATCGCGTTTCTGAAGTGCAACAAATAAATTTAAATTAAATACCATATTATACTATTATAAAACTTAAACGTTACATTAATTACAAACTTAAAAAATAATAATGAAAAATATTTTAAAAGTACGAGTATTTTAAATTCTTTTTCAGTATATTTAAGGAGTAACTACTTGAAATATTTAATTATTTGCGTATTACTTGTTTGAAACACCTGATAAATAAGTATTTTTACAACAACGATCAATTGTCACCTTAATAAAAATTTAATAAAAATGTAATATACACTCGTATATATGTATGTATGTATGTATGTATGTATGTATGTATGTATGTATGTAT